CGCCTCGCCATACTGTTTGCTTCTGCTGCTGCCGCCTTATTAAAGAGTTTGGAACAACGCTGTAGCCTGTAGAGATGGTATAGTAATAACCGAATGAACTATTAACTGATCGAGCGGTAGTAGAGTGGTAGTGATAGCATCTAGCAAAGGTAAAAACAACTGCACGGTTCTATGTTTGCTCCGGGAGGATGCCAAGGTGCCAACTACTGCAATGTCCCCCTTGGAATAAATAAGGGAGGGATAGTACTATGATTAGTCCATATATACGTGTGTGTGAATGGGTGCAAAGGAGACACCTCGCAGGGAAACGGGGATGCTTTGCAAAGTGGAGGGTATCTTCGATTTGTTTGCTTACGAAGGGGATAGATATAACTCAATCGGGATTAGCCTTCTCTATTTCGATGGCGGGGTAGATAATCCGTCCAGGTTAGGGACCAGCTTGCGGGGAGAGGAAAGCACTTTTCATGGCGCAGCGCCGCAGCCTTGCATGCACACGCTGCAAATCAGTGGACCACTCCGGCCAAGCGAAGCTAGCAGACAAATGAGTACATGACGCCAAACTGTGGCTCGTATCTTGGTAGTAATTCGAGTGTCCCCCATGTAGTACAGTAGTATCTTTTCCTTGCTCTTCCTTCTGCTTGGCTGGCTCTGTCTCTTCCAGTGGCCAGTTTTACTAGCTGGCTCTAACGTTTTACACCTTGGACGTGCTAGGTTTATACCAAAACGGAACTGTCGGTATACTACAATAATTACTAATAGAAGGCCAATTTGGCCGCCTTGTATTTGTACTGCATCCAAGCAAGTCTTGTCTTGAAGATTGGCATTAGTACAGTATGCCCGATGCGCGCCGCAAATGATTGGGTCATTTCCGGGGAACAGGATGGCGAGAACGTGGAAGCAGGCGCACGCACTCACAGGCCACAATTTGCCGGGGCAATTTTTTCTCTGTCTCCCTGAAGCAGCCGCGCCGGTTAAACAATGTGGCCGTAGCTGCACGACGAGAACGGCACGGGCCCAAGAAACGAGCGGAAACCGCAAACGCCAAGCGTGAATCTCTAGGCCGCGGCACATGCTGCCCCCCAAGCGCGACACGAGCAACGCGGCGACGCGGGCGGCGGATGCTGCTGCTCTGCTACCGCGCGTACGTGCTGCGTAGCGTGGCGAGTCCGGTGGCGCGATAGCGCTTTGGCAAGCGAAAAATTTCACGTACGGGCGAGTGCGGGGCGGGTGACGGGTGGTGTGGTGAGCACGCGCGCGTGCGCGGTCACGGGCCAGGGAGGCTGCGGTCAAGGGCTGGCCCAGCTCGTTTCACGTTAGATCGAACAGTTCTCCGTGACTGGATTCCACTCTGGCCGTATGGTTGCCGAGTTGCCGGCCGGTTCGGCAAATTGCCGATCGAGCCTGTGTTCTTGTAGCTTTTGTCCCGCGCTCTCCGGTTGTGTAGCCTAAGAGCATCTCCAACAGTCTTTTCAGATCAAACTCTTCAAACACTTATATAGCCAACTCTTCATCCGATTTAGCTAGTCAAACTAATTGTTCACTCCAACAGTATCTTCATCTACCCTCTCTATTTTGACTCTATGACACCGAGACCCATATGTCAGCCTCTCCCTTCTTCTTAATCCTCTTTCTTCCCCTCTTCCCCACCAAAACTAATTTTATTCCTTTCTTGTTCTTCCTCCTCTCCTCTGCTCCTGTGCGTCTGAATGGTGGTGGTGGGTTGGTGCAGGGCGGCGCACCGGGGAGGAGGAGGCCGGGGCGCCGGTGGAAGGAGTGCTGGGGCCTGGGCTGGCGTGGCTGCTGCGGCTGTGGTCGATGGCTGAGTGCGGCTGGCGCAGCTAGGCATGGCGCGCTGTGTGGTGGGGCTGGTGGTCTGGCTGTGATGGCGGCGGGTGCTGTGTTGTGCCTTGTGGGCTGACGGCGTGCGGGTGAGCTTGCGGTTGGGCAGCGTGCGGTGGAGGCGGCGTAGAGGCGGCGTCAGCACAACCGTGCCCAGCCGGGCGCCGGCCGGCTGCGGCCGCGGCCGCGGCCTGAAGACGGCTCGTCGGCGTCGGGGATGGGAGCAGAGGTAGGAGGGTGTGGCGCCGGCTGTCGCGGCGAGCGGAGGACGGCGGCTGGCCGGCGGTCGCGGCGAGCGGAGGCCGGCGGCGAGGAGCTGCCCGGTGGGGCGGCGCGCGGCGGAGGCGGCGCAGAGGGCGGCGTCGGCGCGGCAGCAGCCTGAAGGCGGCTCGTCGGGCATTGGGATGGGGGCGGAGGTAGGAGGGAGTGGCGCCGGCTGTCGCTGCGAGCGGAGTAGGCGGGGCGCGGCGAGCGGAGGTCGGCGGCTGCAACGCCGCCTCGCATAGGAGAGGATGCGCGCATGGATGGCAGCCGCGTCGTTGTCGTCGCCGTTGTCCACCATCGCTGATACAGATAGAGAGAACGTGGGTCCTACAATCCCACCGTTGGAGAGCCTGTTTTGGCTGGCCAGGGAGGTTATTTGGCCAGCCATATAGCTTGGAAAGTGGGATAGTGGGATAGCTAGTCTGTTGGAGCTCGTTTTTTTTTCAAAATTATCAAATTTTAGTTTAAAGAGTGAGATAGCTATACCGTTAGAGATGCTCTAATCGCGGGGCTTTGGCTAGAGGCTGACAGGCCATGTGTCAAGAGTGGGGTCACATATTCACATACGCTCCGGTCTTGATGGCGCGACCAGATTCCTGCGGCTTGACGCCTATGGCTTCAGTACTCTACGGTGCACCATTTTACGTTTTCTTGTACGTATGGTCTATCATGTTTGTTTTATCCATTTGGAACTAATGGCACTATTATTTTTGTTTGCTTTTTTACTTGATCTCAGGTCCTTATTGCTTAGTGACTGGCCTTGTCTTTGTACGGATCATGAAACATATGCATCCTTAGATAGTTTTGGCTATGATCAAGATTCAGGATCACTGGTGGAGAAACCATCTTTACTCCCGGTTGGGAACCCCCTTTAATCTCGGTTTTCCAACCGAAAGTAAGGATCCGGGACTAAAGATGGACATCTTTAATCCCGGTTGAAATAACTAGGACTAAAGATATATCTTTATTCCCGGTTGGTACCACCAACCGGAACTAAAGAGAGTGGATCTTTAGTCTCGGTTGATGTTACCAACCGGGACTAAAGAGACAATAGCGTCAGTACAGATGGTCCCTTTTTCTTTTTCTTTTTTCCTTTTTATTTTCTCCCGAATCAAGTAGGCAAATCCCAAAATTAATCCCCAAATCTAACTAACATCCCAAATTCACATCACTGAATCCACATCACAAATAAAGTTACTTATACACACAAATCAGATACATCACAATATCCTAAGAAATTACTCAAATACATCACAGATCTAAACAATGAATCACAAATTTGTAACATCTCAATCAAATACATCTCAGTGAATTTGAATCATCACAAATTAAAAAAAAAGAATGCGCTATCGCTGCCGGTCGCCACGAACGACGGGCACGGCCCCGCCGGCCGCCGGCTGCCGGCGCGGCCCCGCCGACTGCCGCCGCCCGCCGCCGGGCGCGGCCTCGCCGGCCGTCGCCCCGCCGCCCTCTGCCACGCGCGACCCCGCCGGGCGCCGCCCCGCCGCCCGCCGCTGGCTGCCGCCGCGCGTGGCCCCACCGCCGGCCGGCCCGCCGGATAGGAAGGGGAGGCTGGCCAGGAAGGGGAGGAGGAAGGGGAGAGAAGGGGGAGGAGAGGAGGAAGGGGAAGAGTTGGAGAAGAGAGTTAGAGAGGATAGATCTAAGAAGAGGGGGTGAGATTCGATATGTCTAAGTTGTAACTGTGGAGGAGAGGATAAGTGTTAGGGATTATATACTATGTGTTTAATTTTAGTCCCGGGTGGTACTAACAACCGGGACTAAAGATCCTCGGCCCCCTGACATACATCTAACAAGGGATGAACCGGGACTAAAGATCACTAAAGATCAAAATTTTTATAACCGGGACTAAAAACAATCTTTAGTTCCGTTTTTTTTTTTGCATCTGGGACTATTGTGGATTTTGCCAGACTGACCAAAGATGGTTTCTCCACCAGTGGATGGATCCACTAACAGTGTCAGGTGTGCAATAACACAATAAATTAGAGACATCCCCATGTGTTTTTTTTAAAAATAATTTGTAGTTATTAGAATATCCATAGCTTAACTTATTCATGTTACATCAATATGGTCTAAACACATGTCATATTGTAGTGCTCGAACTTGCGTTAGGCCTCCTTTGGACAACAGGAACATATAGCATTGTAGTGCTCGAACTTGCGTTAATCCTCCTTTGGACAACAAGAATATATAGTGTTTTGTAGGGATTTGTATCCTATATGATACAATGGATAAAATGGGATATATACGAGAGAAGCGAAGGCTCCTCTCTCCAGGAATACAAGGAGTATTCGAAGACTAAAACTCCTCTTATGGCATGAGAAAATTATCTTTGTAGTGCTCGAACTTGCGTTAAGCCTCCATATTGTAGTGCTCGAACTTACATTAATCCTCCTTTGGACAACAGGAAAATATAGCATTGTAGTGCTCGAACTCGCGTTAATCCTCCTTTGGACAACAGGAACATATAGTGTTTTATAGGGATTTGTATCCTATATGATACAATGGATAGAATGGGCTATATACGAGAGAAGCGAAGGCTCCTCTATGAGGAATACCCTACTAGAAAAACGATTTTTTATGGCATTTGGAAAATATTTTTCATGGAGGCTAAGTGAAAAAACCGCCAGCGCAGAAAATGGCGGGGGTCGGGGGTCACGGGCCGCCAGCGGAAACACATCTTCGCTAGCGGTCGCCTTAAGCCGACCGCCATCGAAGATATGTTATTTTCGCTGGCGGCCCTCTTAACTTGACGCCAGCAAAAATTGGTATTTTCGCTGGTGTTAGGTTAAGAAAACCGCCAGCAAAATAGCCTATTTTTGCTGGCGAAGTTGTTACAATTTTCGCTGGCGGATAATGCAGAGCTTAGGATAAAAAATCAAGCCATTAAGAAATCACCGCGCATCCACCTACCCGTCCTTATCCTCTCTCCTCCTCCCTCCTCCCTCCTCCCTCCATATCCAGCCCTCTCTTCCTTCCTAGTCCCTCCAGATCCAACACCTCCTCCCTCAGATCCACAGGCGGCAGCACCGCGGGCGATCGGAGGAGAGGGTGGTGGCGGGCTCGGGGCGCGGGCGGCGTGCTCGGGTGTGGGCGATAGCGCTCGGGTGCGGGCGACGGAGGAGAGTGCGGCGGCGAGCTCGGGGCGCGGGTGGTGAGGTCAGGCGTGGGCGGCGGCGCTCGGGCACGGGTGACGGAGGAGAGGCGGCGTGAGGTCAGGCGTAGGCGGCCGGGCGGCGGCGCTCGGCGACAGGGAGGCCGAGGCGGCGGATCCGCGACGGGGAGGCGCGAGGTGGCGGATCCGGCGATGGGGAGGTGCGAGGTGGCGGATCCGCGACGGGAAGGCCAAGCGGCGGATCCACAGGTCTCTCTCCCCCCACTCCTCACTCCTCCTCTTCCCCCGCCGCCACCACCCCCTCTCCCTCTCTCAAATCTAGCGTTGCGTGGCTTTGCAGCGGTGGTGGCGAGGCGGAGGCGGTGGAGGTCGCCGGGGCTCGGCAGCAGGGTCGTCGAGGCGGTGGAGGTCGCCGGGGCTCGGCAGCAGCGTCGTCGAGGCGGAGGCGGTTGAGGCCGACGGGGCTCGGTAGTGGCAACGGTGATGGTGCAGGGGACTTCAAGGACGACGACGCCGGCGACAGCGGTTCTCTGTATTTGTGATGCTTGTAATATTTGTGATGATATTTGTGAAGCATTGTATTTGGATTGATGCTTGGTGTTCAAATTTTTTGTTAAATGTGTGGATATTTTTGATGCTTGAATGCTTGGGAGAATGGAAATTTTTAGCTGTAAATTGTACATGTAAATTTATGTGTGGATGGAGCGCAGACGGAGGTGGACGGAGCAGTGTTTTTTTTAAAATATATTTTTGCTTTTTAAATTTCCGCCTCTTCGCTGGCGGCTAGGGCAGCTGCATGGTTTTGATTTTTGCTGGCGGTCGATTTAACACAGCCGTCAGCGAAAATGAATTTTTGCTGGCGGTTGGTGGAAGACAACAGCCAGCAAAAATGGATCTTTGCTGGCGGCTGGCTTAAGACGACCGCTAGCAAAAATTCATTTTCGCTAGCGGTCGAAGATCTTGACTGGCCTTTGCTTTGTGGCGGCTCTAAATTTCGCCAGCAAAAACCCTAAAATGGCCGCCACGAAAAATGGTTTTCGTAGTAGTGATACAAGGAGTATTCGAAGACTAAAACTCCTCTTATAGTGTGAGAAAATTATCTTTGTTTATTAAATATTTCTCGGGTCCGCTTATATGTATAGGGCTAATACAATGGATAAAATATGATATATTAAGATTAATAATGCGCTCTAAATAGCTATTCGAAATGGCAACTTCCTTATTCCACGTGAGACTATAAGCACGTTTATCAAACTATACATAGAAGTTTTTTTTTATAAAATCCATTTTTTAAGTTTGTATAATTAATAATCAATTAATTATAAGCTAATAACTTGTCTCATTTCGCATGCTGCTAAATATCTCAATCGAACCGCTAATCCGAACGAAGCCTAAATGATGCATGTAGGGAAGTTACTCTACCTGGTCATAAATATTTCTCGCAATTGATTTTGGATATAACTTTTGACTATCCATCTTATTAAAAAATAACATATAATAATATGAAATTACTCTTTATTCTATTGTAAGTTGTGTTTTTACTAATGTTACTCTATCCTTTACTTACATTTTGCAATTTGAAGTAAATTTTTGAATAAGATGAGATGAATTGTCAAACATCATTTCAAAAGTTAATTCCTCAAATATTTATGACTAGAGGAAGTACAAGCTTGCCCTTGCATGGGGGTATAACCTAATGATATCGTGGTAAATCTCCATTTGGTTTGGCCCATGGATCAAGCCATTTTCACGAATCACGACGCCAACTAGCTAGCTGTGGTCCTTGGATACCAACAAGGAATGTTTTGAAGTGCTTCAATTTGCATATGAGACATTCAACATCATTTTCTTCCATCATCCCATGGTCCAGGGCAAACCTCCATTGATAAGAAAGTCTCTTCTAGCACCTTTGAGCCTTTGAGGCGCCTTTACAATCTGCCTCGAGTGATCTTCAAGCCTTCTAGAAGCCTTTGAGGATTTCGGCATGGCTTCAAAGATGGAAGTTTTCGTTTTGTATGTCTAGTGTTTACCTTTTGCCTTTAACTCGAGAGGTCCGAGAGGGCTCCTTGCTTCCATAGAATTTTTCCTAGACGGCCCTATGGAACAAAGGCTTGTACTTTTTTTTTTTGGACCATATGATATTCCTTTCGAATGGCTCTATGATAGGGTTGACAGTATAGCAACGGTTCCCGCCACATCAACCGCGGTAAATGTTGTTACCGTGGGGTGGGTAAACTATAATTATGGTTTGGTAAAAATTGTTTTGTTTCAAATTTGAAAAAAAAAATCATAGAAGTAGTGCATAAAGTCTAGTGCTCTATAGTGGAAACCTTATGTGAAAAATACAAATTAAGTTAACTTTTTTTTAGCCAAACCGAAGTGGAAATGACAAAAATGAAAAAAAAAAGTCATGAAGCACGTTTAAGCCCAACAGAAGGAAAGATATCTTCTCTTTCACTGTACAAACATTTTTTTTAATATGTTTATAATTTCCTGATTTTATTTTTTTTTTAAAAAAAGGCTTATCAAGAGGCACTTACTGGTACCATCGAGCTGCCTCCTGCCTCCACCATGGCCATCCCTCACAAACCATAATCTGGCTACCTAGCTTGTCGACCAGGACCATGCATGTCGCCCATGACCTCCAAGGAGGAGATGCCGCTCGATCGAATGATTTTCCAGCGAACGAATAATGCCGCCGTATGCCGCTGAATGGCAACATGCATGAGAACGAACCGTGGAGGTGGGAGATACGGATTATTCAGACTACAAGGCAACAATTTTATAAAACGGTCCGTGTACATAGGCTGATTGCCCCAGCACCATAACGGGCAGCTCGAATGCTCGATCATTATTTTGCGAGTAACGTTAAACACAACGTACGATATCATAACTACTCCCTGGGCCGGTCATGTGCCCCACATCTTCCAGTATCCTACACTACGTGAAGAGATATCGGATTGAATACCGATCGAGTTACTTCTACTCATCTATTGTCACGTACGAATCCAAGTACCACTGTGTAGGGTCACTCACTCCGCAGCAGAACAAAAGGTCGTGTACCGGTGTACGTAGGCAGAGAGACCACCAGTGGTTCCTTTTAAAATTTCTCCGGGATGCATGGGCCTGGCCGATCCTGCTTGAACAGTCGAGCCTGTGAGTGACCCACGAACGAAAGGCTGCCCGTGCCCGGTGATCAGGCCGGTGTGTGACAGGAAGGGCCATGTCCTGGGCACATCAGGGTGGAGCATAGTATATGTGCAAATGCAACGCACTCGCATGGTCGAATGATGGTGGCTGGCTGGCACGAGCTGGGGAGGGAGCGACTGGGTCAGTGAGAGTCAGTGATGTGACCAAGTAGTCCACGGTAGGGCCCGACCGACCGAGGTGCGTCGCGTCCGACGCGAACACGATCATCCGACCCAGCCCAAAGCTAGAAGGGCAGGCCCTCGCATGTGCCGGTTTTTAGGAGTAGTTCTGCACGCCGTCACGTGGAGCGCAGATGGGCTCGGCGCAGATGGACTCTGCCCGTGTACCGCGCCCCGCTCCGGCCGGCAGCCGCGCGTGCCGTGGCAGGCGTCAGGCAGCAGCAGCAGCAGCAGCTGCTGCTGCTAGCTCCGAACCGAACCACCTGAACGGCAGCCTGCAGCTGCAGGCAGGAGGCGGGGGAATCCGCCCCGTGTTCGGCGTGCGCTGGCCTGGAGCGCTGTGCGCTGCGCGGCCGCCGGGACGCAAAGGCGCCGCCGCGAGCCTGTTCGGTTCACACACGGCGGCACGGTTGGGCGGAGGAGGCGCGGGGGCATATGTGCGTGTGGTTTGGAGCTGGAGGTGGTGTGAGCGTGTGACAGAATTTTGTGCGGAACGTTTTGGCACTAGCTTGGTCGTTGGCGCAGTTCCAGAAAGATTCCGTGCTGCCAAGTTTGGATAAAGAATTCCAAGGGCACATGCGACCGTGAAGCTCTCGATATACATGCATGGTTACTGGGTGAACCATACGCTTGTGGTTTTTTGATAAGGAAACCAAGCTTGTGATTAGTTAACCAATGCTTACGAGAACTTCGAACGAGTGGCCGCTTTCTTTGGTCTTTCATTTTTGCGAGGAGGGTGGCTGCTGCTGCTGTGGCCTGTGGGGTAGATCAAAAGGGGCGCTGGGTGTTTCTTCGGCTCCGCAAACTCTCGCACTCGTACAGCGCACAGGTTCATTCTTCGGACGCACCACGGCCCACGAGTGGTGAGAAACGCCGCGGGAATCTGATTCGTATTTCTAAACCATAATACTAAATATATTGTCTTTCTAACTATTAAAACCAATGCAATTTCACTCCCTTGGTGCTTCTAGGGAACGATTTCGCTGACGTAGTGTCTACATGACGATATTGATCCGATCTTCATCCAGCGTGGCATTGACGTGGCGTTTATATAGCATTTGAATTTTAAATATATACATATGAGACTCATTTGTCATTCACAAAAAAAATATTGTGAGACCCACTTACACGTGGGGCCCACAACCATCCTCTCCTTCCCTTCTTCCTCCTCCCTCCCTTTCCATTCTTTCCTTTCTTTCTCTCCCCCTTTGCCATTTGTGGGGAGAGCTGGAGCGGCAGCGCGTCTCTTGGCTGGTGGCCATGGCCGTGGCCGAGGAGGCCGGAGACGAGAGTGGCAGCGGCAGCGGGCGAGGGCTGGAGCGACGAAGGTGGGCGGGCGGGCAAGGGCTAGAAAGGAGAGGAGAGAGGTGGCGCTGCCGAGCTCGTGAGCATCATCCGCGCCGTCGAGCTACTCCTCTACCTCCGCGTTGTCGCCTACTGAAGCACTGCTGCAGTCCGAGGCTATGCCGGGGGATGGAGAAGGGAGAGGGCTCTCGCCCGCCCACCCACCGTCGCCGCTCTCGTCTCCGGCATCCTCAATTGCAGTCACCGCCACCAGCCGCGAGACGCGCTGCTGCCGCTCCTGCTCTCCTCGTCGCGGCACCGCTTGAATCCGCCGCCCAGCTCTTTGATGCCGTCGTCGCCGCTCCATCTCTTATTGCCACCGCTCAACCTCAGCTTTATGGGAAGGAGAGGATGATTGTGGGCCCCATAATAATTTTTTTAATGATAAATAGGTCACATATGACTTTTAAATTCTAATACCATATCAATACCATATTGAACGAAGACCAGGTCAACACCTTCACATCAGCTGAAACTGTCATCCAAACTATCGAGGAAGTCAAATTATACCGGTTTTAATAGTTGGATGGTTGAGAAATCTGGTATTGTGGTTAGATATACGAATTAGATTCAGCCGCTTAACTAGTGAAAAACATATATGTGGACTCGTTCGTCATTCACACAACAAAAAATTTAGGCTCACTGACATGTGGGGCCGACATGTCATCCCCCCTCTCTCATCCTTCCTTCTCCCTCCCTCTCTGTTTCTCTTCCTCTCCCCTTCGGCAGCGAGCGGGCGAGAGCCGGAGCGGCGACACCATCTCTCCGGCCCTCACCCCTCCGGAGATGGAGGAGGTGTCGTGGCCGGCGAAGAGGGTGACCATGGCGGTGTCGATGATCCCCTCTTTGGTCAGCAGCGACCCGCCGCTGTTCAATGCCGCCACGTAGGCGCCACGTCAACGAAACTGCCCTTCAAAACCGCTGAGGGAGTCAAATTGCACTGGTTTTAATAGTTGGGGGTCGAGATATCCGGTATCGTGGTTCAGGGATATGAATTAGATTCGACCACTAGTTAAGGGAGCCTAAGTGAACTTATTTCCCTGGACAAACCTATGTCCGGCTCGTCTCAGTTTGGATTGTGTGGGTCATCTAGATGGGCTTTGTATTGCTAGGAAGGAGATAAGAGCCCGTTTAGATGGAGGAGCCCACAATAATCTCTTTAAGCTAACATGAAGTCCTAGTATAAGGTTTGGCTAGGAAAATCAGAGCCAAACTTTAGCTAGCAATAAGTAAGGGACAAAACCGTCACATTTCCTCTTGTATCATTGTTGTGAGGAAGGTGCCAAGAAAACATACAATTGTCACAAGTATTGCCGTGGTACCTAATACAATCATAGCTCTGATTGGTTCAGCCACGAGTGACAGGCTATAAAAAAATATAAATGAAGAAACCAGCAAAGTTTGTGATTTAAAAGTTAAGGTTGAAAGATAGACTATGAATAAGAAACCCCAAATCAACCTGGAACTAAAATTAAGTTTTAAAACTTAAATTTTAACTGTGAATGACAGTTAAAATTTTAACTTCACTATACCACTCAGCGTGTGAATTGCCACAATGAATAAAAACCGTTGCAATTTTGTGCTAATTAAAACATAAAGTGAACAATTTAGACGCAAACTATATCGATCTGTTTTTAAAGTTCAGTTTATAAGATAGAAATTTTACCAAGTAGGTCCTATTTCACTATTTTTATAGAATTGAAGATTAAAAACTGTCCGGAAGAGAATGACAGTAGCAGGGCGTGTGATGGTTAAGTCGTGAACATTGAAGTCGTCCGGAAGAGAATGGTGGAGCAGTATGCGATGGTGGAGTCGTGGGAAGGGAGGATATTGAGCTAGCTTAGTGCGTTTGGGTTTGTTATCTTAACTCGGTTTGGTAACCTTAACGATCTAAAAGCATAACTCAGCTTGGCTCGACTCACAACTTGACTCGTTAACGAGTTCTCTCATTAATATCACATTTGCATCTTTGAATTGATTTACCAATTTATCATATATTAATATAATGAATAAACACCAAATGATAAATAACTCATTGAATCCAAATAATTTATAAGCAATTAATGGACTAATGTACTTATGTATAAAATGTATAAAAATATATATTGACCTCATGGCCTAGCAAGCTACACAAGTAGCTAACGGTATATCTTATTAAGCTAATGAGCTAAAAACCTAGCTCGACTCAATATACTATGGCTATGAGTTCAAGCCGTTCGAAACCATCGGCTTTTTTTTTAACCGCTAGTCATGAGTTCAGTGCATGGCTAGCGCATATCCCACACCACATGTGCGGGTGTGTTTTTAATAGGAATTTAGTAATGTTGAGAGGATTTATCATCTATCTTTCTTTTTCTTAAACGTGTGTTAGAGATCTACCCGCAAATGTGTAACTATAGTGTATGTGCACAATGCACAGTGCACGTGTGTTTTCTGTGTAACAGGGGGAAAAAAGAAAGAAAAAGAACGGCAGCGGCAACGTGGGCGCCCAACGAAATCTGAATTTCTGAACATCCCGGAACGTAAGAACAGCGCTACGTTGGCCGAGACCGGAGAGCGACGTGGATGTTAAGCTTACTCCAGGCCTCAGAAAAACAAGAGGATCCGGGAGACTGAACTGATGATGGACCGGGGGCGAGGGCCACCGCAAGATGCATTGCAGCAGGCGCGAGCCCGCATGGCCACATCTCGCAAATCCTCGCTTCCCCTCCCCCTCGCCCATCGTTTACCGACGCAATCTGCCAATCTCGCATTCGCAAGAGCTGTACCGCTCGGTCCACGAGCAGCCAACCTTGGCATTTTTACCTCCGAAAGCGAGCTCGACCTCCTCAAGAATGACAGAATCGAACGCCGAATATCCATCAGCTGCGTAGCCATCACCGCCTGCGTCGCAGAGAGGGCCTCCCATGCAGTACCGCGTACAATATCACGTACTACCTGAAAGGCTGGAACGCTCAGTTCTTCACCGCGACAAGAATCACCGAGGGGAAAAAGAAAAAACGGCGGACACATAATGGATGGAGCAGCTGAACTTTGAGATGTGTGTGACACACATGTGTTTGTGTGGGTGACGCGATGGCTGTGCGAGAACGCTGGGAGCCATACGTTGGGCTATCCGAAATCTCATCTCTCGCCCAATCCGGGCCTCACGATGACACCTCGCTGCACCGCGCACCACAAACCCCTGGCGCGCCCAATCCCACACTCATATATACACACTTCCCGGCCTCGCCGTCCTAGCTTGCTGCTGCTGCATTCTTCTTGATCTGATCGTCGGACATGGCGTCGCCCATGCTCTCCGCCGCCACCGTGCCACTCCAGGTAAGTTTGGTTAGTTGCTTACTGCTCGTCTCTCCTGGTTGCAAGAATCGCTCTGAAAGATTGTGTTTGGTGTCTGTGTGTGTGGTTATGTGTGCAGGGAGGCGGCTTGTCGGAGTTCTCCGGCCTGAGGAGCTCGTCGTCGCTGCCGCTGCGGCGGAATGCCACCTCCGACGACTTCATGAACGCGGTCTCCTTCAGGACCCACGCGGTACGTGCGTGAAGCAATGCACCGGAAAACTTTTGTTGCGTCGTCGAGGCGGCGTGTGCGTGACGCGGGGTGTTGAAGTTTGTGTTGCGGCGGGCGCAGGTTGGCACGAGCGGCGGGGCGCGGCGGGCGCCGACGGAGGCGAAGCTGAAGGTGGCGATCAACGGGTTCGGCCGCATCGGGCGCAACTTCCTGCGGTGCTGGCACGGGCGCGGCGACAGCTCGCCCCTCGACGTCATCGCCATCAACGACACCGGAGGCGTGAAGCAGGCGTCGCACCTCCTCAAGTACGACTCCACGCTCGGCATCTTCGACGCCGACGTCAAGCCCGTGGGCGACAACGCCATCTCCGTCGACGGCAAGGTGATCAAGGTCGTCTCCGACCGCAACCCGTCCAACCTGCCGTGGGGCGAGCTCGGCATCGACCTCGTCATCGAGGGCACCGGTGTGTTCGTCGACCGCGACGGCGCGGGCAAGCACATCCAGGCCGGCGCCAAGAAGGTGCTCATCACCGCCCCCGGCAAGGGTGACATCCCCACCTACGTCGTCGGCGTCAATGCCGACCAGTACAGCCCCGACGAGCCCATCATCAGCAACGCCTCCTGCACCACCAACTGCCTCGCCCCCTTCGTGAAGATCCTCGACCAGAAGTTCGGTACGTGCGCACACGCGCGCATCAGCGATCCTCGACCAATTTTACTCTCTCTCTCTCTCTCTGATGCTTAACCAATCAATGGCGCAGGCATCATCAAGGGGACGATGACCACCACCCACTCCTACACCGGCGACCAGAGGCTGCTCGACGCGAGCCACCGTGACCTCCGGCGCGCGCGTGCGGCGGCGCTGAACATCGTGCCGACGTCCACCGGCGCGGCCAAGGCCGTGGCGCTGGTGCTCCCGAACCTCAAGGGGAAGCTCAACGGGATCGCGCTCCGGGTGCCGACGCCGAACGTGTCCGTGGTCGACCTCGTGGTGCAGGTGTCCAAGAAGACCCTCGCCGAGGAGGTGAACCAGGCGTTCCGCGACAGCGCCGCCAACGAGCTCAAGGGCATCCTCGAGGTCTGCGACGTGCCGCTCGTGTCCGTCGACTTCAGGTGCTCCGACGTGTCGTGCACCATCGACGCGTCGCTCAGCATGGTCATGGGCGACGACATGGTGAAGGTCATCGCCTGGTACGACAACGAGTGGGGATACTCGCAGAGGGTCGTCGACCTCGCCGACATCGTCGCCAACCAGTGGAAGTGAGAACGTAGAAGCTGCTGCTGCTGCTGCCTTTGTAACTCCACCTCGCTCCAAAAATTTTCCCCAGACTTCTTCCTTCTTCCTCTCGATCCTTTGTAATGAGAATTTCGAAGTTTCGAGCGCCCAACACAGTTTCTTGTTTCTTTCTTTGCTTTTCTTCCCCACCTCATCTGACTTTTCACTGTCCGGCACGGATTATTATCGACTTCCGGCAATTGGAAATCGCAATGCTGTGTAATGTTCATGTGTAATACCGTATATACTACCGGACACCGGTTGCCAGGTTCTGGTATAGAATTTCAGCATGTTGCTTGGGACCATTTTTGTTAGTTTTTCTGTGATGCGTGAATCTTAATTAACTTATAACATGAGGAAATGTAAATGACTTTTAAAGGTAAAACTCACAGGGAAATTAAATACGTAATGAATTAGGAGCGAGACCGCCTTTAGATACAAAATTTAACGGTGACCAGAGGATCTTACCACGATCGAGACGATGCGTCAAATGCGCGATGAATGGTTGAAACAAATTGCCCCAATCCAAATGGATCATGACCTGGTCAACGTGGGGCGTGTTCATTTGGTAACTCATAGTTCACATGTTCGTCATCCTGATCCTTGGTGCCTGTTGCAATGAGCAAGGATCAAGAATATATGGTACTGTGTAGGACAAATATTCCAGTCCATACAATGTAGGGAGGACGACATTTTCCTTCGGAAATCCAATTGATTTCAGAACGAACTTTTCGAACCTGTGGACTCAAAAATGAAGAAGTCCAGAACTCTAGCTAACTAGAAGTCCAGAACTCATAGCTAACTTGATAGATACACATAATTCTTCTTTACTGATTTAGTGCTTACTATTAACTATCATGGGCCAAATGAGTAAATTCCTGAAGCTAACATGATACTCAAGTTCAACAGGGGTCTGCTGATGACACTACATTAACAAAACGAATGTTGCCGATCTAAAATAATGTTCAGATACTAGACCAAGGAAAAGTTCATGCGATGCTCAGTAGTGGTACTATGATAAACTATCCACCCTGTTTCAACTGCTGCCATTGAAAAGATTCCAGTCATGGACATTGAAGTTCATCACGGCGAGCTTGAAGATCTCAGACATTGCTAAGCATCCTGCTTGTTCTGCTGGTACTGCTGGACCGGCTGCAACTGCACTGGCGCTTTCACTCAAGGGGCTGAATGAATAGCAACAGAAACAACATCAAATTCTCAATTTACAAAAACAATATCTGAAGGATTATGCTGTAAACTTTGATATAGAAGGGCAGAAAAGCTGTAATAAAGTCTTCAATAACCTCTAACAATCTAACATTACCACCTAATGCTGTTTATCAGAATTTAACTACAAATCTAGTTTCGTCTTGTTTAACTATCCACCAGTGCACTAGCAATCAGTATGACAAGAAAATTCAAACATCAGGCTGAACACAATAGGGCTGTTTCATTTTGTAAGCACAGGTGTGTTCCTAAACAGTAAGCATGTTTCACCAAACAAGATTATCAACACTCACCACAAACATGTCAAGATGCGACCAGACTTTAAAAAGGAAAGACTGATACAGACAATCCGTAGTTCTTAGAATGCATAATCAAATATTAGCCAAGCTATGACCAACAGATGACACTGAATGGTAGTTTCTGTGATGGGAAGTCCAAATGAGCTTTTCACCCTGCTTAAGTACAAACTAATAGAAATGACCTGTCTAACAGAAAGTATACGTAATTAGTGATATACTGCGCTTACTTTATCAACAGTGGCTCATATGCAGTAATAACTACATCAGTAGCTGCATTCTTGAGGCGTATATTGGCCAAGTAAAGCTGCAATAGGTAATCCAAGAACTCAGTTTGAAGAACCAAGATTTCACAATTTTCCTGTTGTACATACTAATGAAGGAATGGATGCACTCACTCGAACAATGTTCTGTGCTTCTCTGCCTTGCCTTCCTTTTGAGATAGCCTACAAAAAGGAAGAAAATTAAGCACAAGATTTTGCACTTTCCTGGTCAATTCACCATCCAGTGTTGATTATACAGCATATCCAAGCTATCAAGTATCAATGTGCATCAATGAACTGAACTACCAGAGTTAATGAAATCATGATACACAGTAGTTCGATAATTTTGCACAAATCATAATGTTTCATGGATCTATTTATGTTATGGAGGATTCTTGATCATTAATTTCTCCCAAACTTTATTTTCCACTTAGACATCTGCATTACTACTTATCTGGAAAGAGAAGGATGTAGAACCTAGAAACATATACCTCCAACACTATGATTTAAAGGGGTCATCAATTATATGAGAATGGTTCAGCCCACCTACAGTTCAACCAACAAAACGTCCAGTAATCCCTAGTATTTATCCATACATCATTGTTATTTTTCTTAGGCATGCCAATTGCTACCAAAATCTGTTTCCATTCTCTGTAATGTGCAGCTGTTCAAGTATGAAGTGTGATCACCTAAACCTATACAACTCCAGCAATATTGTGCCATCATATATTTGTATTGTTGAAAAAGAAGGTGAAAATCTAATGTGCTGGATATTGATTTATCGCAAGGTGCAGAATAATCTGGAGTTGGCAAAGCACAACACAAAGAGGAAATAATCTTACCAGCTGACCAACCGCAGTTCCAGCCACTGCAGGAGCATCTCCAAATCGCAGACCACCTAGCTCGATCGTCCCAGAATGCTCAACTACCTAGCCAACAAACATGAATTTAACTCAGTTTAAAGGCATGAGCCCTCGAATCTTAACACAAACAGTCAGGAACTCCTGATTACGTTACATCGACTCCTAACTCTAATGTTTGACGAAGTAGTATGCTGAAGCACTAACAGGTTATCCTCACCAAGTTGTCCCCCGCGTCCTGCTCGTTGGCGATGTCGCGCAGGAACCAGAGCGCGCTGCCGCCGTCCTCTACCTCGCCCTTGAGGTCGAGCAGCTCGAAGATGAGGCTCTCGTCGCGGGCCGGGTCAACGAACACCTCCTGCGCAGCAAACCCCAACCCAATCAAAGTATACGCATCAGCCACCCGCAGAAACTCCGCCACCCCCCCCCCCCCCCCCCCCGAACACAAAACCAAACTCAAAAGGGATCAAAAGCGAGAGGTGCACGAACCTGATGGTCGGGGACTTGCCTGATGTTGCTCACATCCTGACCAAAAAAAAAAAACCAAAGGAAAACGGGGGGGGGGGGGGGGGGGGGGGGGTAAGCGCAGTACAGCGTGAAGGAACGAGAAGCCGCCGCCTCGCAAGGAGGATGGTGGGGGAGGCGAGGGAGTACCTGGAACCGGACGGGGAAGGTACTGGAGATGGCGCCGCCGAACAGCGGCCGCCCGGCGCATCTCTCGCCGGACATCCTCCGGTCCTCCGGAGCCCGAGATCAAACGAAGAAGTCGGTGGTGGAGACTGGAGAGGAGGAGGAGGTCGGTGGGCTTGGCGATTGGGGCAGCGCTTTATAGGGAAGGTTGGCGAAGTCGCCGCGCGTCGATCTCACGCGCGGCGGCCGCGCTTCGGCTTTCCTTCCCCTGCGCTGCGTGGATGCTACGCCGAGCGGTTCGGTAGTGCCGGTTGCTCCACTGCGGCGCAGGCAGGGGACGAGGCGACGAGCGGGGACGCTCGGAGGCCCGGACGGGCCGGCGAAGCGAGCGGCCCATCTCACGCGGCCGCCTGAATTCAACTGCTTCCAGCAAAAAATTTAGGGACAAAACCGCCCATCTCACATTCTCACGTAGCGTTGGGAAGAATTCCTTGAATGGGGCGCCCTATCTTCTTTTAAAAAAATATCGGTCGGTTAAATGTTGTAGTTGATCACTAGTGAAACGAAACAAAAAACTTTAATCACTGAAACACAGTGGAGACACATGTTAAAAACATGTACTTATCACGTATGAAACATTACGTATTAACAGACTGAAACATATGTTTTTCTTTTATCAGAATATAATCATACGATAACTTGTTCTAAAGATTTAATTGCAACGAATATAACAGTGGGATCGGATCGTAGATTAGATAAGTAGTTTAGGAGAAAAAAGTTTTGAAGGTCACTAAATACATACATGCATATATGGATGAGGTGAAGAGAGACGAGAGAGAGGAGTGGCAGATAGTTTTATGAAACACGCTAAAGATTTGCATTGAAACATATTACTATCACATATGAAACTTTGAGTTCTAATAATTTGAAACACATGTTTTTCTTTTAACATAATATAATCATATGACATCTTGTTGGAAAGAGAAGAAACAGTATTTTCGGAGAGGATTCGTCATCCGTCGGCATCCCGATTCACGGCATTCCTGGTAACATTGTTCAGCTTGGAATGGAACCTACTGAATGCTCCAGATACGCCGCGCAGGGAAACTCAGAACAGAGCAAAAAGGCAAGGGTGTGCCATTCAGATTCAGGTATTCTGGAAAATTAACTCTGGCAGTCGGCGCGTGAGAGGCTGCAAAATTTAATTTGATCATTCTCTATATATAATAGCGTTATAAACACTAATCCAACGGCAAGGTAAATAACACTTCCAAACAACACGCAACATTTCGATCGCGCATGCAACAAAATCATCTATTGAACTCGAGTTATTTCTCCATAGAACAAAGTTTTTCGGAGCAAGTCCCTACACTGCCAGCTAAGTCGAGCACCACAACGCCGCAAAAGGGGACGCCCTGCTGTTTCAGCCCTCCAGGAGGCCCGGTCTCCGCTTTCTGCAGACATAAGTTGTCCAGGCCAAAAGAATCTGACATGACAGAGAGCTCAGTTCTCCTCTCCATCCTCCTCTCCTTCACCTTGGTCTTCATCATCCTCCTCCTCATCGTCATCATCAGATACCTAAAAATGTTGCGAGTGGAGGATAAATACAGATATACAATGGTTAAAGTTCAACAGTAATAATTCACCTACCAGTCAAGCGCAAAAAAATATTGCTAAAATAACCTTACTGAAAAGTTAAAATATCACCAGCATAAGAAAGGATGACATGCAATGTTGTACTGGGAGTAACCATTATGAGCACACTGATAAGCTATCACGCTTTATATATTTACAAATGTGAGGTAGGATTACCTCGTCATCGTCATCCAGTAGCTCTAATTCTTCTTCAAATTCCTGCAAATGAGATGTCGGATAGGACAAGATATTAGGATTTAGGAATAACAGAAATAAAACAAACCACTTATTACGGTAGAAAGACTAACATTGTTGAAGTACTTCAAAGGATTAGGCCACAGATCTTCCTTGATGACATCTGCCACCTGTGCAAATAAAGTTCTCAGAGAACATCTTCACAGAGCATAGGATATTCCAAAACTCTTGTGATAGAACTTCGAATAATTTACAACTAAACAAAGTTTCAAACAATCATGGTTTAGCACGAGCCAGTGGGACGATTATACCTCATCCATAGCTCCATGAGCAAAACTTCTGTTCTTTTCACTATTGAACCAAGTAAAGAAACTGCAAAGGAAAATGAAGACGTGTTAACAACTTAACTGCCAAGAACCCAGTTGTGACAAACAAAGAACACAATATTATATAAAAGTAAGAAATGGATATAGACATGGCAGAAAGCCTCCACCGCACCCAAAAAACAGATAGTTCATATAAATGATAGCTAACAAAATAGTGAAAAGAATGCTATCATGTGCCTTTGGCAGTTGCTAGTCGGTTATCGAATTATATCAAGCAACATAACCAGCAGGTTTACCAGGAATGAAACAAGGAATAAAGCTAGCATGCTAAGATTACTTTATAGAAGGTCCCTACTATTTCTTCCAACTTCCAAGTAGAAAAGAGAAGACCAAAATTGTGAAACAGATAGAAATAACAACCTTTCATCAATTAAGATTCGCTTGTCCCCTTTCTTCGTGTACGCACGATCATTGGCAATATCCTTAAATGTTAAAAATGTTATTAGGTTAATAGGTTCTCTTTGCACAAGCATAGCAACAGAAACACTTAGATCGATCAAAAGGGTACCATACCATTCCTTTCTTCCACCTGATGGAGGTAGCCTTTACTTTGACTGCTTCATCGTCACTAAAGGAATATGTTTTTGTAAGCTTTGTATCTTCAAAATATGGATTGGGGGAGAATGTCTACAGTTCAATGACAAGCAATTGTAATCACGGTAAAAGAAATAAGGAAATAATATCTTGCAAGTGCAAAGAAGCTCACGAGAGTAATGGAGTAGCCTGATTTGATATCTTCTGAGTCATCCACGTCGATAGACTCCAAGTGTTTGAAAATCTATAATAAAAAATAAGAAAGCTCATGACGTAGTTCTAGTAATATATTTCATTGTGTTCATTGTGCGTCGATTGTTCCCATAGGACTACTGAGAAAATCAATATTTCCTTGCTTTAGTACGCCTCATACTACTTTTGATTTAAAAGTATATCAAAGTTAATGTTAGTAGTCCACAAAAGAAAGGTACCTTTTGATCATCTTCAGTTAATAGTTCACCAAGCATAGGATGGCTAAGAAACTGCAAGATGAACAGTAGATAGCATAATTAATAAGTAGATGAAAGGTTTTAATCAATCAACAATTCAATCCGAAAGAGCATGAAATAAAAATCATTGTAGAAACATATTACAGACCGCTGTCAGCCAGAAGTCAGGAATTTGCTTGATAATTTTATTCCGTCGAACATAAACTGGTCTGCGAACCTCGTTGTATTTCTGTTCCAACTCCAGAACTTTATCACATGCTTCCTCATTAACCTGAACTCAGTTAATGCAATGAACTAAGAGCCTAACATTCAAAACCCACTAAACATTCCAGCTGATTGTATCAGGTCCAATCAACATATGAAATTGGAATTGTAGGTACTCAAACAATAATTCTGGAAAGGAACACTTTGTTAGCAGTACAATTTTAGAGATTGCATCATTGATTATGATAATTTTCACTTAGTTCAATTAAATCACTAATCCTGATACTAAAACTAATAGAATGGAGTAATTATGAAGTCAAATAAAAAGCCTGAAACGAAGCTGAATCCATGATGCACAATATCTGGTAGACAAGGGAGTCTGGAATGCAATGTTGTGCAGATCAGGTAATCATGAACCAAGTCATGCAAGAATTTTTCTCATTCCAGAGAAACCGAGAATTTGCACCTATTAGCTTTGTCTGAGAATATGTGGAGTTTCTGGACATTAGAGCACCCAATTTAGCTTGTACAGTTCTGCGATTACATTATAGAACTAATTTAAATTGCCAGAGGAATTGAACAAAGACAGACGAGTTTCCTAAAGCATTTCTGACCACATTTTGAAGCCTCCAACCTCTAAGTTGAATGTGAAAAAACTTTTGCAGCTAACTACTCTCCAATGAGCTCCACATGCATCTCAAAGTGCTCATAAAGCATTTAACTGTAGCACAATCTATTCTAGACGTCTACAGTTCAATGGCCATGGGTTCACAGTCAACTGATTTTAAGTATCTGACAGAACAAAACAGGCACAACATCTACTGCTAACTTTCACAATTCCACAATATCAGGCCTCCAAACAGGTCAAGCCATAGAGAGAACATGGACAAGCTATCTAGCATCTAACATAGCACTTATGTCCCAACTTGAGCCATAGAGAGAACCGAAAAATTGAAAACCCGATCTCCCAAACCATATGTCTACCCAGCCATAGTAAACCAATCATTCATCAACCGTTCGTTCCGCAGTGAAACGATATCATAAACACAACAGAATCAGAATCGGGAGTCGAACTTCTCCTAAATCCCGCGCGCCCCCTGAGCCGCGACCGCTCCGCGAACCCATAAACCCCCAAAACCCCAGCCCCCTAAAAAAAAATACAAACGCCCCAGCAGCAGCAACCACGCCGTGCTAGAGGATCCAACGCCGACTCACCTTCTCGATCTCGTCCTGGATCTCCTGGAGCTTCTCGATGGACTGCAGCAGGGCGGCGTCGACGGGCTCGGCCTCCGCGCCGTCGGTCCTCGGCTTCTTCCCCTTCTGCTCCGCCGCCGCCATCGCCCGTTGCGATAAACCCTTCCGCGAGCTTTAGGGCTTTAGCTTCCCGGCGAGGTCTGCTGACTCTGCCGCCGCTGCTGCCGCCGCCCGCCGAGAGGGGAGGAGGCAACCGGAGGCGGGTGCGGAGGCGGGGGGGTGGTCAGGGGTTAGGGGATGGTGGGTGCTGTATGTTGCGAGCCCTTTTATATCGGGCCGCGCGCAGAGATTCGCCGGTTTGAGTTGGGTTGGGTTGGGCCTCATTTTCTTATGGGCTAGGTCCCTTTGAAACAAATAGTAGTTTCTTTCTCTGAAGAGGAAGTTTAATTAAAATATCATCGATAATCAATCTAATAATCTATTTATATAATAGTTTGTTGTAAATATATTGTATTATTAATACCTAATCCATCCATGTTACACACATGCGGTCACGCGTGTGGGTGCCGCACCACCGCCCCTCCCATCGATCCTGCGCCTTTTGTGCCGCGTGACGTCGACGGTGCGGTGGCTCGTTTCTATCCCGCGGAGAGTGTATATTTATGTAAATATATTTCAAAGGCATGTAAATATATACAAAAATCGATGAAAAAATATATATATTAAAATTTAATCCTCTCAACACCTTCTATCTTTTTTTTTCAAACGATCAGGCCATTGCTGACTTTTTATATTAAGAAGAAGATATTCCATTTTAAGGAGAAAACAGGATCAAACCTTACAGCGCACGGTTAATTAGGAAACTGAGCGAAAACCATAACTACAACACCACACCAACAGCTAACCTATCCTAAGCTACTTGAGTAGTAGTGGTAGTAGTATATTTAACAATGAATCAAATGATAGGAAAAAAATCTTAAATTTTTTTTAATAAGACGAACGGTCAAACATGTTTAAAAAAGACAACAGCATCAAATATTTAGGGACCGAGAGAGTAGCATGTATCTTTAATCTTATAGGAATTGAAAACACATGAAACAGATGCCCTTTTATTGCACCAAATGAAAAATTAAGTTCGTTTTTTTATGGAACGGGCAAAGTGCGATATTATTTTCTAGTCTCGTGTTACACTGTGCCGATGAGTGCTCATGGACGCGTTCATCCCTGATTAGAAACAGTAGTTACACCTGTGTGCTGACTGAGCACAAGAATTTTTTTATGAGCACTGGAAAACTCAGGTGAGAACGTTGCAGAAGGTTATACCGCTGCCATTGATTCAAACAGAACTGAAACAAAACAAGTTTACTTTCTAGTCCCTTACATCCAAGGCTAAGTGAATACCCAATAAAAAAACCGTATATCCCCCAGCTAACTTATTACCACAGTCCCTTACTCCCTTGTTCATATCAGGAAAACACTAATAACTTAATTCTGATGAATTCATGTCGATATATCCTTCTCGTGCAAATAATCTACAAAACTGAAGTTAAAGTATCCCGTGGCGCCACTAAAGCATACTAGCTTACACCTCTGGATGGCTTCAGTGTCATTTTGAGGATAAGATCAATTCCAAACTTCAGCCAACATAACCAACCATCCTACACCAGAACTGATAGATGAACTGCCAGTTCTGGGAGGTTGAAATGGCTGCAACGACTTGGCTACACACGATCTCATGAAGCAATCAGTCGGGGTTAATCACCCAGGCCACAAGTAATTCATGCCACAAAGTTCAAGGAAGAAGGGTCCTGACTAGGTCTATCCAGCCTTTTCCTGCAAAAGGAAACAAACAATACCATCATAACTGTATCTGAAACTACATTCTAATTGAAAATTGTTATATACATTCTAAATGAAAATTGTTTTATACATTCTAAATTTACGAAATTACTTGGGCAAAATCTGGCCCCACCACGCAATCAACTCTGCGATCTTTTTCTTTTTCTTCTTTTAACATGGTATTTTTAAACCTTGAGAACAAGAATGCAGATGTTCCTTTTCACCTCGTTCAAACATATCAATGTACGTATATGATAATAATTGGAAAAAATATTTTCCTTTGAAAAAAGGCAAATGAAAAGCAAATTTCTGCATTATCAGGAAACTTAGCTGGACTTAATCTTCAGAGGAACTTAACTAATATGAAAAAAAAAAAAACCCTGCTGATCTAGTGTTACATTACAAGGTGCGATCATTCAAATCAGTGAAACATCAATGACCAATGTCAGTGATAAAATTCTTGTAGATTATTAAGAATTTTCAATTTAGTTTAGCCAAAACAAAATGAATGAGGTCATGAAACTTGAAGAAACACTGTGGAGTTTCCAATGGAATGATATAACCATATAGTTCCACTAGTTTAATCAAAAGTTACTGCCAGCATTGAAAACTGGTGACAAACAGTTACATACCGCTACAACTTTCCTGGCAATTATCATGAGCAAAAAAAAGCAAACACATTCATAGCACTTCATGGCCTTAAGTCAGCAGACACAATATGCAAATGAGATTTTTTTTTTTCTGGTTGTAGCAACTAGCAACCTTTATGTAGGATTATAATATATCAAACAGCCCCTTTCCACAGATTTAAATTTAATTCTAAGCACATTTAGTGGGCATATAATGATATTTTTAGTTTGAACATGAAAGAAGTGCCTGTTTTCAGCACCAGCATGCCCATTGACTTCATACAAAATATAGTTGTCCTTACTCCTTACCAATTTACCATCCTCAACAAGTAAAGACTAAAGAGAACACTTTATGTTATAGGCTCATGAAATAGACAAGGTTTGCTCTAATTTTGCCATCACACAGATTCATATAATAGCTGTGGTCGTTTACAGGAGATGTTCTTGGGTCCAATAAAACACTTCCACAGATGCATTGCAGTAGCTCCTTAAAATACTAATTTTGTTGATATAAGAAGACAAATCTGATATCTTGAGCTATTGCATTTAAAAAGTACCATATGTTCGAGAACTATATGAAAGAAAAAAAATGTATGTAATTTTGCTGAATCAGCATATCTGTGAAACATATGGGTTGGAAGCTGTACCTCATGAACGGTTTTATACGTGATATTGACCTTTCATAACCATCTTCTGAATCATTCTTTGCATTATCATCTGATGCCTGCTCCACATCGTTGTCTTCTTCATTTTCTCGTCTTGGTTTTGCTTGTTGTCTTGATGTAGGCTTCCAGCTTGCTTTGGCAAGTGACTTAGCAAGTAAATCTGCAATATTTATTGACATTTCCTCAGCTTTCTGCACATGAGGAAAATGATCTTCCTCAAAATGGTGTGACAACCACAAGTACATTGACAGGACCTGATGTTTTGTCTCAAGGTCCAGAAGCTCAGTGTCGTTCTTTGCAGAACCCTTTGGCATTCCCATTGCAATGCTAACACGACGGCTTTGGCTATAGTTTGTAGCAAATCTCAGAAGATGGTACATGGCTTTTGGATCCCTTATATTCACTGGAGCAAAACAAAAATTGTAGCGATCCTTGAGGGAGAGACCCTGGATCCTCTCAAGCATATTAGCAACCTTCTTGATACTTTCCTGGTGACACATGAAGTATGTACTGTCGACGCGGCAATTTTCACGGAACTTATCCAGCAGTTCATTGAAGGTAAGGTCAGGAAACTGGATGGCAAAACTTTCCACCTGCTCAAAGCAAGGGAATAGACCAACTTTCTTCGCTTCCTCAAATGGCTGCTGAAGGCACTGGATCAAATAATCCAAATCATCCAACAAGAAGGTGGTTGTCAGCCCATCTGGGTAAATACTGCCTCTCCGACCAGCTCGCCCAGCAATCTGTTTTACCTGTGAAGCAGCAACAGGTACCATCCTGTCCCCATTGTACTTGGCCAAACTATAGAATACCACTCTCCTAATGTTGAGGTTCAATCCCATACCAACAGCATCACTTGCTACAAGCACATCATACTCATTATCCTGCTCATTAAACAGCTTTGCTTGCTGCCGCCGTGTCTCTGGTGGAAGAGCTCCATATATAACGCAACACTTGTGCTTCGTAAACTTCTCGATTGCCAGTTTCACCTCAAATATCTCTCTGCGTGAAAACGCGACAATGCAGTCACCAGAGCGCACATTCTTGAGGTCTCCAAGCAGTGTCTTTGCTTCAACAACAAGCGGTTTGAAGCGCTCATATTGATGCACCTCCAAATCATCTCCAGTATCTGCGCAAATCTTCCGAACAATCTTCAGAACACTAGGGTCACCACAGAGATGTATCTCGTCTGCCTTGAGCCCAAGAACGGCTCGTGTCCACGCATAGCCCCTGACAGGGTCAGCCATCATCTGTATCTCATCAACCACTGCAACCTCGTAGGGCTCCTCCGTGGAGAGCATTTCGATCGTGCACGCGACGTGGTTGGAGAATGGCACCTCCTTGATCTCCTGTCCAGTGCGGAGGCTGCAGTAGACGCCCAGGGCATTGACCTTGTCGAAGACCTCCATGGCGAGGAGCCGGAGCGGGCTGCAGTACACGCCGGACTTGGCGGCGGCGAAGCGGGTGAGCGCGTTGTGCGTCTTGCCGCTGTTGGTGGGCCCGCAGTGGTACACCACCCGCCGGCGCATGGCGCGGGCGAAGGGGTACCACGCGTGCGGCGCCGTGAGGTCCGCCGCGGCCATGACAGACTCGTGCTTCCTCAGCTCGTCCGCGAGGTGGGTCACGCAGAACTCAGCGAAGGCCGGGAGGAGGAGGGCGTGCGCGTCGTCGGCCGGGAGGGAGAGGAGGTGCTCGGCGGACTCCAGGGAGAGGCGCGCGGGGAGGAAGTGGCGGAAGCGGCGGGCGTAGGTGGGGAACGCCGAGGCGGGGATGTAGAGCGCGAGGGCTTGGTCGGACATAGCCGGGTCCTTGCCGAAGCGGCGGAGGAGCGCCACCACGGCGTCCCACGTGGCCTTCGGGAGGCGCGACGCGCCGGTGGCGGGCTCCGAGGTCGACACCTCGCGCCATAGCTGCTTCCCGTCAAGAGGCGGCCGCGGCTTACTGTCCCCCTCGGCGGTCACGTCGGAGGAGAAGAAGAAGCGGTGGTGGGGCGGTGGGTCCCAGGGGGAAGGGGATCGGGGCGCGGCCCGCTGGAGGTGGGAGAGGAGTGGGAGGAGGAGGATGCGCCGGTGGTGTTGAGAGGATGTGGAGCGGCGGAGGAGTGCGGCGGCGATGGCGGCGGCGGCGGCCATGGAGGGTAGTAGGTCGGGTTAGGAGGCGGCCGGCGACATGGGGCAAGGGGAAGAAGGGAGAGGCGTCGCGCGACAGGCGGCGGCCCAGTAATTGGCCGTGGGCCGAGTTGGGCCTCCAGCGGAGTCGGCGGGGTTGATAGCTAACCTTTGAGAAAAGGAAAAAGTACACCGAAGGTCCCTCAACTTGTCATCGAGTTACAAAATCATCCCCCAACCACAAAACCAGATATGAAACATCCATCTCAACTTACAAAACCGTTTACTTTAGGTCCCTCAGTGGTCTTGAGCCCGATTTTATCCCACGTAGTGGCCGAGTCAGCATGTGACCCACATGGGCCCCACATGTTAGGATGCCACGTCATCCCATCCTCTCCCTTCCTCCTCTATCTCCCTCTCTCACTTCTCTCCTCTCGGAGCAAATGTTTGTTATGGGTTGCTTCTTATTCCTCAAGATGAGGGATGTTTCATATCTGGTTTTGTGGTTGGGGGACGATTTTGTAACTCGATGACAAGTTGAGGGACCTTTGGTGTACTTTTTCCTTAAGAAAATCCGCCCATAACAAACATTTTCTCCAATCAAAGAATACCACAAAATTTTTTGAATGCCAAATAATACCACAAAGATAACCAAATTTTCCATCTATACCACGAAATCTAATAACCAAATTTTCCATCTATACCACGAAATCTAACCTCTCCTCTCATGACAGCCAAGATTGAATTGATTAATCATCAAGACTACGACAATAGCAGCGATGACGCCATCTAGATCGAGCTCCAGCCGAAGCCTCGGTGTGACCACCTCGTCCTTGGCAATGGCAGACACGACAATGGCATCTATCTCAAGCTCCGGAAGAGGATGAATCCACTCCAAAGATCAGATGAGAGGGGATGAGGAGAGAAAGATGAATGCATCATTTGGTTCTTTATGTGGTATTGATTGGTATTGTGAAAATTTTGTGGTATTCTTTGATTTGGGATAAATTTTTGGATCACGGATAGAATTTTCTCCGTATTTTATCTTAACCTTTGAGGGAGTTAAGACTTCGAGGTCCATGGTTTACCAGAAGGGATGAAAAATGGATCGGTTATTTTTCTGTTTTGGTCCGAATCCAATAGAACTAATAATATGGTAAAATATTTTGTAAAATCTGGCGTATTAGGATTAGAATATGGTATTGCTAAAATTCAATGATGCATATTATCCGATTTTTTAATGCGAATTATCTAACAAAGTGCTATCCAGATAATTCAATTTTTAATAACTAGCCATATGATTATATTGCTATCATAGCTCAACCAAATGATTTGTTTGTTTTTTTCTCTTACTAGAAAAAATGCCTGTGCGTTGCAATGAGTAAATACGTTTTTTCAATGATATATTAAGAGCTGAGCAACAAATTGAAATATTGAGATCGCTATACATTATAATTGAAAAAGTTAATGAAAATTCTAATATTGGGATCGCTATATATTATAATTAAAAAAAGTTAATGAAAATCTTTCTTGGGTTTTGGGGCGAAAGCATTCCTTACTTTTCAGCCCTAGGCCAGTCCGCTACCTCCCTCTATTTAGCTTGCTTGTTTCGACCCAGTCACGAGTGAAGCCGTTTTTAGCCCTAGGTCGGTCCGCTACCTCCTTCGTTTGGCCTGCTTCCTTCGACCCATCAAATCCGGACGAATCTTCCTCAATCACCCAAAATTGGTTGAGGGTTTTTTATCCGGCCACTCACCTTTTTCCGTTTTACCCAAAATCAGAGCATAAAACTCGGGATAAAAATAATCGGGAAAGATCGCCGTCATCATCGGCAACCGTTAGATTAAATCCGACAAAATAAAGCGAGGAAAATCATAGAGAGAATGATGAGGGAGGAGTAGGAATCGATTTTTTTATTTGCAATCAAATTGGAGGGAAAACGCACGATCGATATGGCGCTAGCGCGTCGCCAGGGTTCAACTTGGTACACGTGCCGCGAATAGATCGGATTAAAAAAAACCAGATGAGAAAAACCAAAATCGCATGGGATAAAAAACCGGTGAAAAAAATTGACAAAAAAAAAACAAAAGCGCCCGGGAGGCGCGGTGTGATTGAAAAAACCAGAAAAAAAAACCAATAACGCGTGCGCAGGAAAAAAACTCTTTAGCGTGAAAAAAAAATCGCCAGTAAAAAAACACAAACGGACTTTTTTTTTTGTTTTTTTACTGGCGAGACTTTTTCCCCCTTTTTTTCCTTGAGTCGGACGATTTTCTTTCTTACAACGATAGAAGCTTTTTTATCCTTTTTTTAGTCGGACTTTTCTTTTACCTTTTTAGTCGGACTTCTTTTTCTTTTTTACCGACTTTGGAAATTTCTTATTCTTTTTAAGTAGAGATAGAGATACAGAGATTAAAACTGAAAATAAAATTAAAACCGATTCAAACACGGATGACGTATCAAAGTACCGATAAAAACATCTTAAATTTTTATAATAGTAGATATAAGCTCTCTATCTAGTTTGTAAGTCTAATTAGCTTTATTGTGTGGTGTGATGTTAAGTGTTTCTAATTCTTGTTATTATTGTATTACGTTGTATATGTATGCAACATCCGATATTTTTGATTCGTTTATAGGCCGTGTTATCTTCGACTCTATATCATTTTCAACGCTACATCCACACCAAATCCCAATCCGCTAAAATAATTTGGTATCCATTCGAGTATCCGAATCCATACTGTTTTCAACCCTTAGGCTATATTCGATTAATCCCCACAAACCCCTCCAATCCTCTTCAACACTCTTTAAACCGAGCAAGGCCTTAAGGGGACTGAGTGCAAATACATGGGGACCTTTCTGAAAAAAAAGTACAAAAATAGGGGCTATTTGGAAAGAGGGGGCTCTGTCAAAAACAGCATCGTGTGGCCTGTTTAATTGGGCTGAGATGGTCTGGGCCGTATGCCCGTACACCTCTCCCATCCGGCCATCCCCCACGATACCGTCAGTCCGTCACGCCCCAGAATTGGTGTGAGGTTTCAAATCATCTCGCTTCACGGTGGTCGCTCGCAAGCCACACACGCACGCACCCCCACCACTCCTCCCATTCGAGACCCCGCGGGGCTCTGGATTGCTTGCTCGGAACCTGGGATGCACTGCCTCGCCTGCGCCGCTCCGGCCGCGCGCGCCCCGGGCAGTCGCGTCGGCGGCGGCGGCCGCCGGAGGATGGCTATCGAGTGCGCCGCCTCCTCCCCCTTCACCCGCGACGGCGAGGAAACGGCCCCGAGGTATGCCCGCCCCTTGCCCCTGCGCCAGAAATTTTGTTCTAACCGGGTGGTTTTCATCGGTACAATCTGGTGGTTCTGGATAACTGTATTGCGTAGTTAGTGTAGGATGGCCCAATTTGGGTACCTTTCGCTTGCTGAATCTCGGTTGCTTCTAGCGGGAGATTATTGATTATTCCAGTTGTGTTCCGTTTGATATCTAGTAGAGTAGTAGTTGATGAATTTTTAGGGGAAAATTCGATGTGCGAGAACATTCGTGTTAGTTAACTCACCATCAAGCAGCGTCCACATTTTCTCATGTTCTGTTAGTAGTATTTGTCTTTTGCACGGCGCTCACTCTGTGACTATGTGCACCTGCATTAGGTATTCATAGTTGGTTGACCGTTTTCCTATTCACTCTATCTGTTTATGTTTATCTGAAATTATATTCCAGGTCAATGATGGAAACATATGGTGAAATGTCAAGTAAACCTGTATTGCTTGCGTCAAGGAGGAAGCTTGTTGCATTATCATCGTTTTGCTTTTGCTTACATTCTTCAAGGTACTTCTCAGGTTCGGACTAAGTGGCATGATAATTTAGGTGTTAATAGAAATTAACTCGATCCTTGTCAGTTGTCACCTACCCAAATGATTGCTTTTGTAGTATTTAATTTACTCTATAAGTGTTCATGCTTTGTAACTTACAACTCCTTAAATACAGCACTTGCTTTGGGTGATCCATCTGTTAAAATTGATGATGTCACTCCAAAGATTTTTCCATCTGGTCCACTGTTTCCAACTGAGGTCAGTACTTAGTTGAACCCACTTTATCCTATTTTACTTCTTCCAAAAATATATTTACATTTCTTTGGATATTTCTTCTTTTATGGCTTGCATGGCAGAAACGGATCGCAGAGCTTTTTGAAACAAATACTTACTCTGTTGTCAACATTTTTGATGCAACTCTGCGCCCTCAGCTCAATGTAACTGGTGTTGTTGAGGTAAAACTAAAATGTGCTTTCGTGTTATAGGTTAGAGTAGAGTCAAGAGTATGTGTTAGTTGTTGCTCAAATTGACAAATGCATCACTAGTATTCTCCATAGAAGCACTAGGATAGGACAAGTCTGGCATTCTTTCTTTCTGAACTGGTGATTCGATCAAGCTAAAGTTAGACAAGGAATTGCTGATTTATTGTCTTGATGTCCTGTATATCTTTCGCAGATATCATGTGTAGAGTCTTATTGTTACTTTTAATAGAAATTTTAGAAGCCCTTGTTTGAAAGAAACTTCTTAATATTCATTATAGATTCCCGAAGGAAATGGTTCTGGCGTAGTTTGGGATGATTCCGGCCATATTGTTACAAACTACCATGGTATGGCAGTCAGTAAATTAAAAACCCATCATATGTGAGAGATCTAAATTCCTTCATACATAATTATGGTGCTTGACCCTTTCACCCTGTTGCACACTCATCTTATTCATTTTAATTGTTGGTGCAATGACAGTGGTTGGCAATGCCCTTTCAAAAAAACCAAAGCCTGGCGAAGTTGTTGCGCGTGTCAACATTCTTGCTGCTGATGGGTAAATTCTAATAAAACTGCATTTTACAGGATAGTTTCATGATTTAATGTATATACAATTGCAATGTTCCTTGTATATGCAAGCCAACTAATCGTTAATGCTCTGGTGCTCTCCTATATCTACCTGAAAGGATACAGAAAAATTTTGAAGGCAAATTGGTTGGTGCTGACCGTTCTAAAGATCTTGCTGTTCTCAAGGTGAGAAGTCTTTTGATTAGCTATAGAGAATTGTCATCTATCATCACTATGTTTACCATAGGTTTCTCTCATCTCATTTCGGTGTGCAACATTTTATATTAGTCATTCAATTCATTTCATCTCCCTGGTGGCCTGGCATGTACATGCCTCAAACTCTCATTAATATCCTTCTGTCGTTAGCCAAGGATTTAACTATCTGCTCATTTTTATCTCACATGGCATATGTCATGGACTAAGAAAATAAAAAGGGAGTAGAAAGTGGAAGTAACAGAAAAAGAAAAAAATGATACTTTTGGAGTTTTAGTTTCATAAGTAAAAATTCATCTCTTTAGCCAACTGCTTCAGTTTTTCCCTTTTTGTTGTTTTGTTTTGTTATGGTATAATAGTTTATTTGTGACAGTAACACAACATTTTCTTCTGTTGAGTTAGGGGTCCCATGCTATTTGATTGAAATGTTTTTTGAAGAGTTAAGTTACGAAACTGAGGGGGGGGGGGAGGGGGGGAGGTTCCTTTCAGAGGTCAAGAATACATACTTTTGTTTGCCCCGTCCTTTCTTCTTTTACGGAAATAGTATATGTATGTTTTTAGATACCAAGATGTTTTTATTTACCTACTCATCTTATGCCTGCCTTGTCCCAATGGAATCTAGTTCAAGGACAACCAATGGAAGGGCTGTATTAGATAATTTTACGGTTTGTTAGTGCGTAAAGTCCTGTTGTGATTTTCACCTGAGCTCAAATGTTGTCAGACATAGTACCTCATATATGGATTATGGACATGCAATAGGTGGATGCTCCTACAGATCTGTTGAAGCCAATTAACGTGGGACAATCTTCAGCTCTAAGAGTTGGTCAACAGTGTTTAGCAATTGGAAATCCATTTGGCTTTGACCATGCTCTAACTGTTGGTGTCATCAGTGGTTTAAATCGAGACATTTTCAGTCAAGCTGGAGTAACAATTGGAGGTGGAATTCAAACAGATGCAGCTATTAACCCTGGGAACAGGTTTGTAGATATGTTTCTTTAATGATTTATCAACTGATTACCCTTTTCTGGTCTCAGAACCCAACCTGGAAACTACCATTAGTTGTACTGGTTTACATCTGTATATTACTTACTGACAAGCATAAACACTTTTGTCACTAGTTACTTGATGGCTATACTGTATTACTGTTTATGGTTTCTACTATGCACAAAATGATAGTACTTGCCTATAACAGTGCAAAACAGTTGACTCAGGACACAGAAGAGGAAGTATTTTACTTCTTACTTTCTTGAGTTTCTAGCATCGCATCTAAAGTCAGGACACATAGATTGGGGCTAAATTGCAGCTCTGGCAGTTGGCATAGTGGTAATATTTGTTGCTACCAGTTTACTATATTAGGGTAGAATTTGATCATATTTGTGGTCAAAATCAGCTTGACCATGTATGCCCTCGTCCTTGAAGTGATTTAGTATGCATTACCTGTACTCTGGGGCAATGAACATCTAGGGTTAAGGATCATGTTGTAAGTAGTGGTTTATACAATATGTGTTGGATATTTATGTTTCTGAAAATGTATTATAGAGGGTTTTACTAAGCATGTATACTGATGTATGTCCATGCAGTGGTGGTCCATTGCTGGATTCGAAGGGGCATATGATTGGTATTAATACAGCAATTTTCACACAGACAGGTTAGATTATCTCAACATGAAATGTATTAATCAAATAGCACTGAATTGTTTCATGCTGATTTGCGGAGGTAACATTAGTAGATGTTCATGCTTTCTCTACAGATGTCAAGCACTGCACTTAGCATTCAAAAGAGAATATGTCCAATTAGTAAAAGTTCATCCTCAATAAACTAAAATGATCATAACACATTGCAAAGCTTGCCTCGATCCCTGTACATCAGTTCATTTCCCAGAGTACTCTGGTTGATGGCACACTTTGAGTGACTTTCTATTTTGATGGCATGATTAGTGAGTGGTATCATCTATCATGTTTATATTCGGATTCACAGCATTCTTTGAAATTGTTATTTGCTTGCATCCTAATGGGCTGTAAGAATTGACATAATTGATTATAGTTGACTCAAAATCACCTCCTTGAAGCTGTGCATTAGACCATTTGTTTTTGTTGTTGATTTGGTAGAGCATAAATCAGATATTCAGATCCAACTATGTCCAATGTAACTTAAATTCCTATGTTAGTCTGAGATTCCATTATTTCTTCAATGTCGCAGGAACATCTGCTGGTGTTGGTTTTGCCATCCCGTCATCAACTGTTCTGAAAATAGCTCCTCAGTTAATTCAGTTTGGAAAAGTATGTTGCATGGATATCTTTCAATAACATCATCATCAACCTAATAACATACGTATTTTCTAATCATCCCCTTAGAATAATGTGTTATGTTTATGGAGATGCCATATGTAGGTATATGTTTCATGCATTAGATGGCATCTTATGGATTGTGATTCTTTATCAATAATCAATAACTGTGGTTGTCATGATTTTAGACCAACATGCTGTGAAACATGCTCAGAGTCAACTTTAGGTGTTAGCAGTAGGAGGAAACTTTCGGTTGATAAGTTTTTGTAAATACTATAGGGACCTTTTCCAAAGATAGTTAAATTAATTTTGGTCTGAGTTTGGCCCAAAACTTTGCCCTCCCCTCCTGAAAACTCTCTTGAAACTTTGTGAACACTATTGCTTGAATGTTTTTGTTGCAAAAATTTTGAGCACAGATAAATTTTAGATTGCTATTAAGAACCTTCTTTCTTTTCCATTGCCGACACATGTGCTTAGCAGTTAGCTTCTGTATTCTATTTTATTTTAAATTATGCTTACACTCCTCTCTTAAGGTTCGCCGTGCTGGCTTGAATGTGGAGTTTGCTCCAGATCCAATCGCATATCAGCTTAATGTTCGCACTGGATCTCTAATATTGCAGGTAGACTGAGTTGGTGTAACCCATATTTTCTGTTGGCCAAACTGGATTCTGTTCATAATATTTCTGTTTCTGCAGGTTCCTGGGGGCAGTGCTGCAGCCAAAGCTGGTCTTGTTCCTACCAGTAGGGGTTTTGCTGGTAACATTGTTCTTGGTGATGTCATTGTTGCCGTGGACGGTAAACCTGTAAGTGTTGATTGGTTAACATTAAACTGATTTTATAGCCTTCTGTCAGAATCCTTGGATGCTATGTACTAAGGTAGCCTTAGTCCAGTCTCTGTTTCTCATGTTGGATCTTTTGGAGCAGATCAAAGGCAAATCTGATCTATCGAGGGTTCTGGATGATTATGGCGTTGGAGACAAGGTGAGCTTGACAATCCAAAGAGGCGCTGAAACTCTGGAGGTAACCTTGCCTTTAGAAGAGGCAAGTATCTGATGTATTTCTAGCAGTAAGTTGGCATCCCCGATCTATTGCTTTTGTAAATATCGCATTTGCTGAGCTGTTCATGCTTCCAACCTGAAGCCTTTTTCGTTTGTTTCTTAAATACTAAAACGAATCGATTCAGAACTCTCTCTCTCTCTCTCTCTCCTCTCCATAGATGGTGCCTCAATATACATCAGAGTTTCTGCTTATTATACGTCATAATCCTTTGAAGATTATGATGCAGTCAGTCCATCCTGATGATCTCATTGATGTAAGTATATGTAGGTAACCAGCTGAAATTCCTTCTCTTTTGGGGGGTTAACAAGGGTGTTTGCTCTAAGGCTGTGTTTGATGGTGAGGGGATTGAGAAAATTGGGAAGATACGTAAAACGAGGTGAGCCATTAACGCAAGATTAATTGAGTATTAACTATTTTAAATTTCAAAAATGGACTAATATGAATTTTTAAAGCAACTTTCATATAGAATTTTTTTAAAAAAAATACACCGTTTAGTAGTTTGGGAAGCGTGCGCGCGGAAAACGAATGACAATCTCCCCAATCTCCTTTGAAAGAACGCAGCCTAAGTAACCCTAGGGGGATTACCTAAAGAAAGCAAAAGAAGAAGGGAATGTCGCTACTAGCGGCAACAGTGGGAGGCTTTTCGCTGTGTGGCGTGGCTTGGTTCCCACTTTGGATCTTTGAACGGGCCAAGATTGGCTTTTGGTTTTGGACTGATCCACTCAATCCAAGGCAAAACAAGCTTCATTGCGGAAGGGAAAAAAATTTCCCAAGGTAAAAATGGTGTTACACGACAAGAAGCCAAGAATGATACTGTAGAATAACACAACATAAAGCAACAGCTATATGGCACAGTAAGGTAAAGCACGGCAGGAGTAGCAGGATGTGCGTTGTGTTGGTTTCAGCATGGGGAGGCGTGCTCCTTTATTCAGAGAGAAGCTTCCAAAGTACACAAAGAAGAGAAAGCAACAGCTTGGGTTGGCTGATCTACAATCCAAAAAAAGAGACGGTTTATAATCCAAAGAAAGAGACAGTAGAGAGGTAACCCAGTGACAGTCTTGCATTGGTCCTAAATTCCTCCAAGTGACACTGTAGTGTAGCTAGCTATTCCCCAGCATCTTTATTTCCACCTGGCAGATTCTTCTAAAATAGAATTCAGCACCGCAGAATGCAACTGCATGCTGTGCTTTCTTTTCCCAGTGGGCACGGTCACCTTTGTTTTTTTGATGTTGATTAACCATCACCGCATAATCCTGCATTACCAAAACACCAAGCTACTATTTACTCCCTAAGTCAAAAAAAAAAAAGGTAAACCTTAGGTTTCCGTGCCAACGTTTGACTGTCCGTCTTATATGAAATTTTTTTATAATTAGTATTTTCATTTTTGTTAGATGATAAAACATGATTAATACTTTATGCGTGACTTATCTTTTTAATTTTTTTTTCATATTTTTTTCAAATAAGACGGACTGTCAAACGTTGGACACAGAAATCAGGGTTTGTCTTTTTTTTGGGACGGAGGGAGTACCTCAGTCACTCACATGTCACGTCTAAGATAGGAGTATATTTCAGTAGCTTGTCAGGCAGACCCGCAACGCCCTTCTCTTTCTACCAAACTAGTACTGGGTTACATGCAAATGCGCAACACCATGAGCCAGCAACTCAGCAAGAATCACCTTCAAGTATAAAGTGATTTGGTTGCCTTGTTGGGTGTCCATCTCTTTGAGCTTTATGCTTTTGGACCGAGATCTCAGCCATCCCAGTTACAGATGTGGCCTAACACTGCCTAAGTGTCCCTGCTTCCCTATTCCTATATCTAGCAGAACAAAGGCACAGGATGCGGCCATTGTTACCAACATGGTCGAAGCTTACACTATCTACACAGATTTCTCTCGCAAAAACTAGCTTAGCTTGTACCAACAACGCGCCCTTGGTTAGAAGAGAATGAGAGGTCTCAACCTAGCACTGGCGGTGCTGGTTCTCGTCGTCGTCCTCTTGGCCTCCTTTTCCGACGAGGTTCTCGCCGTCAGAACCCCGGCCGTGTTCGCCGCGAGTCGCCGGAGCGCCTCGCCACCAACAGAGCGGCCGCGAGAGCTCGTGGAGGGCGGCAATGCCGTCGCCGCCACCGCCACCTTTGACGCCTCCGTGAAGGCCGCGGCGGCGACGGCGACGGCGACCGGCTCCTCTCCTTCGAAGGTGTTCGACCCTGACAGGATGAGCAAGCGTCGAGTCCGGCGAGGGTCCGACCCGATACACAACAAATGCTGAGTTGCTGATGACTCGCCTGGGTCAGTACCATGGTCGATGGTCGGGATATATATATTTTAAGTGTCAATTCTCTTCTTCTTCCTCTTCTTCTAGCTCCTTTTGTCTTGAGGTCTGAGTCGTTTCCGCCTTGTGGAGTTCGAACGATTTTGTTATAGAGATACTTGTACAGAGATGTCAAGCTAGAGTGGGCAAGCTAATTAGGCTGCCGCGACACGTATGCTAGTCGAGGCCAATGTAATGTGTAACCCTCTTTCCAAGTTCGCACGCATGCAGATGCAGTAAACCAGCGAAATGCGCTTGTCCTTGATCAAAATTACCATGTTCTCTTCGACATTTTCAGTTCGCTTCAGCCATCAGCGACTTGACCGGACAGACAGCCGATCGATGCAAGCGCTGAGCGTACGCGACAGCCATCGACGACCGGTGGATCTGTGCTCGGCGCGCTGTCGTTAGTGGTGGCAGCGCGTGGTACACCGTACACCGTACAACCGGACCAAGCGAGGGCAACCATGGGCTACGTTAGAATCGTTGGGCTTTTGAGCCCGTAAAAAAAAAGACTCGCATCATCGGCTTGAAGCCTTGAGCCCTTGAGACTCCCGGTGCGTTGTCCAGGCCTTTCCGTACTGTGAAATGCGACCCAACCACTCGAAATTCATACGCATTGTTTGGTTTTCATTAAACTTTACTAAATTTAATTTCTATATATTTGAGCAGGCTTGCATGAGTCGATAACTGCACATTTCTAGAAATTATCATCACTTAACACTAGCTATCTAAGTCGTGCCTACAGGCGACCATAACCTGTCTTTTATTTTCGAATATGATAGTACATTGTTTGTAATGATTACGTATGTTAAAATTTAATTGGTCTATTTGCGGATTTGAATTATATTATTTGATTTTGTTAAGAATTGAACTTTGGAGAGTATTTGGTTCAATGTTCAAGCAATTAGGTTGAGATATAGTTTTGGATTATGCATATCAGTTTGTTTTTCTATTTGTTAGTTACATATATATATATATTTCTGTAGGTGGTAGATATTTTTTTATTTTATTTATTAATTTATGATTGTTTCTATGACCTGCACATCTGATAATTTTAGACTTGCTATGTTGTTTAATTGCGAATGTAGGATTTATTGCAATTTTATTGACATAAAATCCATAACACACACGTTATTCGGTATGTTTATTGGTGGGTTACTCTACGGCTATATATGTAAAGATGTACCGAGAATCACTTTTTATATATGTAGTGTCTTTAAGTGCATCTGACGGTAAGTATTTGTTAGATGACGTGACATATCCTAGTTTCTTTGTGGGATTTAATTTTCACTTATAGAGATGTCCTATGCGCAAAAAATACTGCCGACTTGTGCAAAACCCTTGTTTTGATTATGCTGTTACTGAAAAAAAATGATAATATACATTTTCTTAAATATTTTTTGTTTATATACTTGCATGAGAAGAAATCATTGAAATATACACATGCTATAAATTGAAAATGCTGATGTGCTCACAAATCGTGTTGTGGAGACGCGGGTTCCTCTTGCCCATTCTGCGGGGACGGTCTGACCAGCAGTCCTGCGTCTCCGCAACACGATTTGTGATCGCACCCACGTTTTCGGTCTGCGGCATACATATATTTCTGCAATTTCTTCCCACGTAGGGATATAAACGTAAATTGTTAAAATAAAAGGCATATTCTCAATTTTTTTTTCTGCTGTTACTACTGATAGCTCGCTGAAAGTGAAAGGTCATCGCTGAGTTGGTGACCATATACGCGTTCTGCACAAAGCACATCTTTGTGTTCAAGTCGTGTTAAAATCTGAAACAGTGAAAAATTATGGTTATCGTGCCCAAGTTACTAACGACAAAAACAATCACCTTGGCTACTTGGCTCTAATTCAACACGGTGATAAATGCTAAACCTGACGAACATGACCAATTAAACACAAAGTAGTTAGCACAATGTAACTACTACTACTAGCTACTACTACCTCCGTTTCTAAATATTTGGCGCCGTTGATTTTTTTAAACATGTTTGACCATTCGTCTTATTAAAAAAATTAAGTAATTATTAATTCTTTTCTTATCATTTGATTCATTATTAAATATACTTTTATGTATACATATAGTTTTGTATATTTTACAATTATTTTTAATAAGACGAACGGTCAAATATGTGCTTAAAAAGTCAACGGTGTCAAAATATTTAGAAACATAGGTAGTATTTTTTTTCGTTGAACAAACTGAGCACAAAAATAATCACCTTGGTCATAATTCAACGTTCATTAATGCTAAACCTGCCGTACGCGAGCAACGTAGTAGTAGTAACTATTTTTTTTTCGTCGAACAAACTAAAGTCTGACAAGGACTCTCGTGGTCATGGAAACGATTATTTCAAATGCCATTGTCATTTGCCAACACACCTGATACCAACACAGCGAAAGCAATTTTACTTTTACTTCCTTCTTGTCATCTGTCTCGTTCCTAGCACTGAGCACACGGACGTTCTCAGATTAAAACTCGTGTCGAAACTCCCTCCGATCGACATAAGAGTTTAAGGCGTTTCATTCTTTTATAATTTTTAAGACTTCAATTACAACTTTTCTATATACCTATATAATCTTAAAAGAAACCAGTGATAATGTACGTTCGTCTGCCACCGCCACCAGTTAATTACATGTGCGTTTTTTTAAGATAATAATTACATGTGCGTTTAGTCTTAACTAGCTGGATGGCCCGCGCAATTGCGCGACTAGCATCCAAACAAAATAATATATTTTTTAATATAATTTTACTTAAAATTTATAAATAGCTATCTCATTGTCTTAAGACTTTGAAACACCAAACCTTATCATCTAGTGTTTCTACTTATATAGTTTTTTAAAAGTCACATCAGTTGCTGCCCCTTATATCATCTCCTTCCTTATTTTGCTTGCTTGATCTACCACTATTTCTATTTATTCTCCTTGGAACCTTTAAAAATTGGATGAAATAGTTTTTAGAGTTTATTGT